ATCTAGTGCTATTCAATCCACTCTCATCTCTTACCTCTCAAAAGAACAAGTCATAGTCACCAGTGAGTACCCCTGGTTGGCACCCTCAGCACAGTCGTGCATACCAGAGTCTAGCAAGGAGCTGACTCTTTACACATGCTCCCAGCAGATGCTGAGGTAGTGGATGACTTCATTGATTCATTCACCCAGAGCATGGTTGTACAAGCTACCTCTGTTGGCCATGGTGAGGTTGCCAAGAAGCTACCACAGCTACTTCTGCTTGTAGGGCCAGTGATGTACACTGCTTTGCTGGGGTTGGAGGAACTGAAGCAGATGGAGCTGCAAGCAGACCTAGCACATATGGTTAACCTTATGCTGGGTTCCAGAACAGAGACCATCATACATGCCAAACACAAGCTACAGAGTGCCTGGAGTGCAATGCTCACATCTCAAGCTGATGGAATACTTGCTGGCAGGGACTTCCAAGATACGCATCTTGTGGTCATTGATGATTGCTCAGATCTTCTACCATCCCTACAGATTATCACCTCAGAATCGCCTCAAGATCAACCTGTGCTACCTCCTGTTGATCAACCTGGTGTGCTAGCTGTACCCATTCCTACAGCTATGCTTTCAAATTCCCCTACAACACCTTTTGAATTGCACACTATTTTGACCACCATATCACATAACCTGCAACCTCCTGCCATCCAAATCACATCAGAAGACAAAACGTCTCCACTCACTCTCCACTCACACAACCAGGAAACCCTCGTAATTGGCAGTGGCTGTTTTGAAAGTGAAGGTCTCACTGAATATGATGTCAATATCCTCAGAGATCCAGGTGCAGAGATCAACAGCGACATCATGAACACATTCAGAATGCTAATAATGGATGAAGTACCCAATAAATCCGTGTATGTGGCCAGTACATTTCTGTGGTTGAAGATAATTGGCCCTGCTCCACTCTGGCTGCACGTCCATGCAAAATGGTTCAAGGATAGGAGTTTACATGACTATGATCATCTACTCTTTCCTATCCATACTACCAACCCTGGACACTGGGCTGTTTTGTATGTCGACATTTCTGCACATGCTATGCATTACTATGATAGCATCTGGTCTGGTGTTGTGAAGCATTCAAATGCTGCCTTCAATGTACATTTCCAGATTGCTGCACCACTTACTAAGATGACTGAGATCTCTCCATTAGGGCTTGAGGTGATTCCTCAATGATGCGCCTGGGAACAAGAACCCAAATAAGCTCGATTGGACTACCAAACAGCCACATGTAAGAGAGCTGATCCTTACCAAGCGACTTCATCTCATCTGTTGATTTTAGAATATCCTGACACAAATAGATGCAACAAGCTATGGTGTATATACCATGTACTTCATCCAGGAGATGGTGCATGGCTGCAAGATTATAGGACAAGAATTTCAACATACAGCAGTGAAAGCATTCCGCCTCACCATTCTCGAGAGATTTTGGTCTCACAGTGTAATGTGAGCTTATCTTTGCTATGTGACCCAAGGTTTCCATATACTAATATGTTCTATCTATCTATGCACTGCTGGACAAAGAGTAACACTGCAGGAACATCAACCACTTGCACACACCCCTTTGGCCATTCAGACTCGCCCAGTAACACCACCAAAAGGAGCTGCAAAGCTGTCAATCCAACAGCATAGCCCAGTTTCTCTGCTACCAGATTACCATGTTTCAAAACACAGACGTGGACTCGGTGCTGGAGGATGTGTGGAATAGGTGTGCCCGACTGGATCTGAGGATTGAGGGTGGCTAGGCATGGTCTGGGGTTGGACTTGACAACATGTTCTGCTAGCAGAGTAGCTATATCGGCCTTAAACAATTTAACTTGATTTATATCATATGAAATCAGCCATAATTGATTGTTTCTGGTGGATAGGTAAGGGTCAGTTGATCATCACCTGCACAACCTCCGCGGGTATGACCTCCCGATCGCACTTATTGATCGTTAATCCAATCACTGGATCGTCTCTTTAGTATACATAGCCTTGCTTTTGCAGCGCTGGTTTCGTAGTTAATAATTCCCTGGTCTTTGATTGCCATTGGGGACCTTATCAAGTGCCTACTCGCCACCCACTTTCAGGTGCTCAACCTGGCAGTTACTAAAGCGCTAACAACCTGGCAGTCTGGAGTAGCCTGTTCCAGCTCGGTCAGTGTGTGAGCTCCGGCTCAATCAGTGTATTAGCTCCGGCTCAATCCGTGTATTCACTTCGGCTTGCCCAGTGGCCCTACGCCAGCTCGATCGAGGGTGCGATTCCAGCTTGGTAAGATCATGAGGTCCAGCTCGATCTGAGATCTAGGTCTGGCTTGCTCCGTGTATTTGCTTCGGTTACATCAGCATTTGCTCCGGCTTATCACCCATCTTGCAATCCTCCCTGAGACCTTGAATACGGAGATTTTAAGCCGGATGCGTTGTGGCATGCTGCCTCTGTAGCACAGTTTGCTCAAAGCGCTTGGGCATGGCCTTGAATATACCAGGTCGTCCAGCAAAGTACATATATGGACCCCTCCTGCTAATGCTCCTCGAGAAACCAAAAGAGGCAGTGTTCGAGGAGTTGCAGACCAAACTCAACGACCTCATTGGGCTTGGCAGACTGAGCAGGAGCAGTCCAGGATCCAATGATGCTGCCGTTGGTGGTGATCACTCGGAAGAGTGTTGTACAGGGACTGCCTGGCTTCAAACACTTAATTGCCAGGCGTAGCTAAGGTTGTGTTGTTTGAGCACGGACGGGCGGCTCAGTGCTCAATGCTACCATATTATGTAATGGGAATGTTCAAAGCTCGGGCGCAGAAGTGCAAGCTACTGTTGGGGGACTAGAGTGTATATACCAGAACTTTGAGCATGAGTCTCGTTGGGAATCAGGACCTAGAGAGGGAAGGTGCAGAGGGACGGTGATGGATAAAGGAACTAAAGAGAAGAAATGGCAAGAATGAGACTTAGGATTTACTATTTGCTTTGTGTAACGCACATCGAAGGCGCATTGCCATACATCTCTAAGAACATAGGCGTGTTTCAAGGAACACTGTCCACCGGAATATCAAACCTTATACCCACACTACTGCCCCGAGAAAGTGCTGGAAACAGAATTCTCTCAGCATGTACTGCGAGCTTTAACCCAGGTCTTGACTGCAATAGAACCTCATATTATAAGGATATTTAGGTTCTCTGTACGCTGATTCGATACCAATCTGTGTAGTCCGGTATTTAGAGCTCTAAGTTGACCCTGAACGTCTCGGAGTAAGGGATAAAATTAATACGTTTGTTACGGTGAGATGGCCGAGCGGTCTAAGGCGCCAGATTAAGGTTCTGGTCTTTCGGGGCGTGGGTTCGAATCCCACTCTCATCAAATGTTTTGGTGGCTGCCTATCGTAGCGTAGCTCCTCGTTTGACTCCTCACTTGCTGCAACTCGCTGTCGAGCGTCTCTTGACATACTGACAGTAGAACCTTTATGAAGTCATTTCCTTGAAAGATCACTTCCGGTGTCGCATCATACATAGCTCTAGTGCGTCCTCAGTTGATCGACCTGCTGTGTGGGAGGTAAGCCGAGTAGCCGATTTCCCCTGTAGCCATTGCAAGGCAAAACATTGATCCATAACGCCGAGTCCATAGAGATAGGATTGGAATATGAGGGTCACACATTTTAGTCGTCCGCCAACTTGGGGTCCAGGAGCAAGCACTGGTCGGAAATCGCGCTTGCAGTAATATAAGGTCTGCCAATTCCATTCTTTCAGACTGCCCAGCCGGCTGAGCGTACAGCGGCTCGATACTATACCCGCGAAGTAGATCTGTCTCAAGAAACAAATACCTCCCCCTTGCTTCTTCTGAAGAGTTGACACGACTAAGAATCTGATTTTAGACCAGTAATGCTTATTCTTAATCGTGGTAATAGGTGGATTGCAGCGAAATGGTGTAAGAATACCGTTGGGCTACACAATCTGTGGATTGATGAGATAACGCACAAGAAAAACAGTCACCGCTAAAGATCCTTACGATGAGAGCAGGTCCTACACTCTAATCCTGTTTCTCCTGGCCATGCTGTGATTGATCAGACATCATGCGGTCGCGGCTGAGAAGACATACCAGATGCCCCTACTGGAATCAAGGGGCTGCTTATGGCCTTTTGTAACTCGCAACCGTTCTACACCCACGCCTCTTGAGTTCCTGAAGGCGGATTGGCAATCAAATAGCGACCATAGCTAGCAAAATCGATTCAAAATACTATCCCCGCTGGGAAGAATATGTTGGGCCAGGGTGCAGCACACACAGTCATTGTTACCAAGAAACTACATTGAGCAGGAGTCTGCTCCTCTGAGCCGTCTATTGTTTAAATGATCACGAGCGTCAACATTTAATAAAGCACACAAAGAAAACGCACAACTCTAGTGACACTACGCAACGGCAAACGACGGAGGCAGGAACTTGAAACTAGGCATTCCCGGTACAACACACTCTTCTGGGCAATCACCACCAACAGCGCCATCGTCAGATCCTAGACCGCTCTCACTTCCTTGTCTGCCCAACTCAATGAGTTCGTTGAGTTTAGTCTGCAACTCTTTCAGCACTGCCTCTTTGGCGTCCCGAGGAGCGTTGGCAGGAGGCGCCCATGGATATACTTTGCCGTGCGACCCGGTATATTTGAGGCCACGCCCGAGAGCCTTGAGGGAAACTGCGCAACAGAAGCAGCGTCGCGCCGAGACACCAACCTCCTTAGCTAGCGTCTGTCGAGAATTAGATCAGCTCTGTGCCCAAACCGGTCAACATTGAGCTCACTAGGAAGCTCACCTGGTCACATGCAAGATACGCTTCGCAATGAACACGCCCCAAAAATCCATTAGTCCATTTCTCATCGTTGGAACTCCCACTAGCCAGTGCGGCACCCAGAGCACTATTCTCCCTTTCAGCATGTTTTATTTTCCGTTGCAAGAAGTCTCGAGCGCCGCTCTCGAAATCCTGGTTGTTGGGTTGTAGGGCGGTCAATGTTGTCGAAAGGGACGCTTGTTTCGTTGGATCAGCCATTGGCGTGACTTTAACGATTTTGATCTGTAGCTCTCGGGCTGCGAGAATTCGTCCAGCGGTTCCGCCGATGCCTAAGTCTAGTAAGGCTTGGTGCCAATGACAAAGGCGCTTGAGCCAAACTTGAACTTTGCCCGTATGGCTACCTTGTGAGAAGCCACTGGGGCCTTCATCGAGATAATCCACCACCTCATCTTCATCCGCATCTGTGGAGGGTGGGTGCTTGCGAACGATATTCTTGCGTGATTAGTTTGCGACGTCCCATGGCGCAAATACGCACCTCTCCCGAATGTAAAGTGAAAGCATCCTTCACGACCGAGCTTTCAATCACGTACCAAATGAGCCGGCTACGGTGCGTTAGCGAGCACAGAAGTACTCATGTGCTGAGAGAGCAAATCGAGATGTTCTTCCACTTCTAGGACCAGCTTCTTCACGTCCTCCGGCTCTTTTCTCCCCCGCTTTAGTGACTTGAGAGCGCCGATGGAAGCGCGAATACCTCGCAGAGTAGTTTGCAGGACGATGAAAGCAAGGCTCGCTGACCAAGCTGAAAATTCGAGCTGTTCCCCTCCTTTAGGGGCAATTTTCCTTGGGATGTGTTCTCTAGTTATGTCGGCTCTCGCTTTGCGGGCCTGATTTAGGAAGATGGTGACCAGCCATGCCTCGTCGCGACGTTCGATATTTTTAGGAAGTGTCGATCCTGGTGTCGTCCACTCCTGGCGAACCGCCTCATCCGAGAGCCGAGCAAAGACACTTTCGAACTTTGCCCCTTTAAGTCCTGGAACAGGTGTAGAGAGCCGTTCCTCGATCTTGGAAAGGCATTGAAAGTAGGCGTAGCGCTTCAAGTTTGTCATAGCCTGAGCCGCTCCTTCCGGCGTGAGAGGTCGCAGCTGCTGGATTAAGTATGCCAGCTGTGCGGCGTGATCGCGAAGGGATGCCGCAGGTAAGTCACTGCGGGCTAAGAGAATCAGTCGGAAACATTGGGAAGACTAAGAGACACCGACTCTTGAAGGTACGTTGACATCCAGCCTGGACCAGGAGTGAGGTTAGTCTGATGCGACACATCCGGCTTGAGGTCTCTATATTCTAGATCTCAGTGAGGATCAAGTCAAAGCCAGGAGTGTAACATACCGACTTTGACATGTTAGGTTTTTATTACTTGGGACAGTTTCGAATTGGAGTGACGGTCGTGTTTCCTTATTATCGTGAGGTGTTCCATCATCCGCTGCACAAACTATTGTAACCTTTTGCTGGCTTACGTCGGCTGTCATTGCAACAACTTTGCCTTTTCCTTTGGTGACAAATAGGAGGGCAATTCGATCGAGTCGGCTCACGAACGGCGAGGTCGCGGATGAAGGTATGACTTGGGGTTTCACCTCATGAAGAACAGAGGAGGTAGACCGTATTAGCATACTGATCTGGTCATCTGTCAGTCGGGCTGTCATGGTCAGGTCGAGAGAAGGTGTAGAACGAACCAAATGGTCTTGTTTACAGAGACTAGACCAAGCAAAGTGAAACAGGCTAAACTATTCCTACCGGGTCCCACCAGAGGAGGAGGGCATCAGTCTCAACACACCATGGGCTTCTGTGCTCCCACTCACCGCAAACGCCTCATATTTAAACAGAAGCTTCATGCCACACCATATGGAGAACGATCGCAGCTGGTGACGTCATTCAGCGCTATGATTCCGTGCTGCGTTCACGATTATTGATTGAGTTCGTTGTCATATCGCTGAGACGGTAACAGATGCTCCGAAGCTCTCATACTGTCCCACATATTGGACACCCCAGTTCACTCCGCCTTTATCTACTCCATGTTGGGTGCATCCCTACGCCAGATCGATGCTCTTGTGGGTGGCGCCAATGACTCCCCGGATCTACTGCATGGCTTTCTGGTGTGGCTCAGCTAGAAACTATAACCCCCTTGGTCACTCTCTCACGTCTTTATGTCTCGTTGGACGACCCAACTGCAACGCAGCGTCCATACTCACCAGTATCACTACGGATCTACACCTTTGCTGACTACCAGATCCCCCAACAGGGCCACTTTGTGCAGCTCGAGCACACAGTCACCTTTAATCCCCACTCGCCATTCCATGTTCTCAATCCTAGTATCAACGGGGGCCAAGGGACATCCGATTTTCCCACCGCATCCTTAAATCGGCGTATCTACATGGCCCGACTCCGGCTTATAGGTGTGAGGCGCGCTAAAATGGAATAAACTCCGGCTCGGCGAGCTCGTTTTTAGCCTATCACTTCCTCTGACAACACAAATTCTCGTGCCTGTCGCGGGGGCCTCCGCTGTCGAGTGTTGATCCGTGTTCAAGCCGAGGTCCCCGCGGGGCTCCCTCTCCTCCTCTCTTGATCAGTGAGAATTGGAGCGCTAGGTCGGACACCGCTTCCTCCACCAAAACGAAGCGTTTAACTTCACTCATTCCTGATCCCACAGCGTCTTGTCATGCAAGGGCTTAACGTTTCCGATCGTCAAAACTCACTGGAACAGCATTCGACCCGCGCCCACATATCGCAACACCATTGAACTGTTTTCATGCAAATACTGGCGGCGGAAATACCTCTCGAATCCGATTCACATCATCTACGATGCGCTTTCCAACCCTGATGGCTCAACATCGTGTGGTCGATCTCACGCCCCATCATGGCATTTCGATCATCGCCGTGAAGTTGCTGACAAAAAATAACTGACCGTGACCTTAGGATTATCATGGACTCCACCATCACCGGAAGGACGATGATCTCTATTTGGATAGGTGGGTTGATGTTGTGTCCGGAGCTTACTATCAAAATGCTAATTCGGATATCATGCTTTGGCTGTCCGGCGAGACATTAGGTCCTCGTTATGCTTCTTACCTGTACAGTTCCTGTGCCGCTCCACTTTGACTTCTTTCACAAGCATCACGCTCGACTCATGGAATTTATGTCGCTTCTAAACCCAGGTTATTCGTACTGAAGCTGGTTGTGTCGACATCATTCTTCTGTGTTGATGGCAGAAGCAACAAGCAGCCATCTCCCGTCGACCGACTCCTCCATTTAAACGCTACTGAAACCCTCAAGTCCTGCTTCCGCGCTTCCGCGAGTCCCGCTAAGTTGGTCAAACATTCAACTGTTATCATTCAACCCATTCTGGGTCGCTCTTTGGCTTTCGTATATGGACGTTTTCAGCCTTCAACGTAAGCTCTCATTATGCACAAAATGCGAACTCCCTTATAACGAGTTGATTCGTCATGTTGGGTTGACTCAAGGTCACAGCGCAATATCGCGGGTATCGCTGTGGCATATACCGAGACGGTGTTGATCATCATCCACTAGGCTGCGGC